TCCACACAACTCCGAACTGTCAGTTATCTTGTGAATGGAATAAAAAACCTCAAACCATTGCTTGCAGCTAAATGAGTCTTATATGCATTTTAATGCTTTCCCCAGTGAAAAAGTTGTCTTGTCTGAATCAGGAGAGAAATATGCCTAGATCAAGGAGCGTTTACAACCAAAAACCATCCAGAACAGTTATAGTGTGTTGGTGGATTTTGTTGAGCGGACAACAGGGGATGGACTTTTTCACTGGAGGAAGTGTTATAATGGATTACAGACTTGTATGTTGGTGACAGTTTAAAGTTGAAGCGTCTTTTTGATGGATTTGTTTATTACAAACACACAGCTTTTCGCTTCATGAGATGTTAACTGATGGACTGGAGTGGTGTTGGATTACTTGTGGGTTATTGTGATGTTTTTATCAGCTGTTTGGACTCCCATTCTGACGGCGCCCATTCACTGCAGAGCATCAATTGGTGAACAAGTGATGTAATGCTAAATTTCTCCAAATCTGTTCTCATAGAGAAACAAACTCGCCTACATCTTGGATGGCCTGAGGGTGCATTTTTGAGTGAACTCTTCCCTGGACTTAAATTTCAATATATCACTCTCTTATGAAATCAATCTTATGATGTATTTTAGCTCCTGGTAAGATCGTAGAAAATCATTGCAGCTATCAAAATTTAGAATGAACAGACCGTTTTTACAAACGCAAAGAGCAATTGGTCTTGACACTTTGTCTACGCACATTGGAGGTGCATCTGCAGGGTTTGGGGTGGGTTTTGGATGCGTTACACTTCTGTGGTTCCTGTTCGTGAGCTTTAACCAGACTGCCTGTTTCTTCTCCTCTCAGACCGCACGGTCAAAGCGAGCGTTCCCTGGTACTCTGACTGGAAAGAAACGCTCACACAGCTGAGCTCGTCCAAGTACTACACAGGTATTCCCTTCCTTCCCCTGCTGGGAGTGTGTGAGAGGGCTTTCCTCAGCTGCCTTCTCCACGTCATTTCCCGTCCCAGCTCGCTCCGTAGCAGAACTGTCACTAAATCTCCTTTCCTCTTTCCAATCCAGCTTCCTCCGCTTTCTCAGGATGTTGGTGGTGGTTCTTTAGCTTTATGTGTGTTTGAGACTCATTGTGCTGAAACTCTCAGTGGTAGATGTGTCCATTGCTTTGTCAAATAATGGATTAGCAATCTCTTCAGTTACATCCAAATAGTTAGTGTTCCAATTGACAATCAGAAAATAGTTAACTATTGTTTTGACTGAAATTTAAGTTTAATTTTATGTTTCAGAAATGTTTGGGCTCAGTTTGGTTGTGAGATTTTAGTTCAATGAGTCATTTTACCCATTCAGTTAGAATGTGCCTCACTTTATAGTCTAGTTTCTTTCCCTTTGTAGATCCATCATTCCTTTTGCTGTGAAGTAGATATTGACTTTACATGTACTTTTTCTGAAATCCTAGCAGAATAAATCTTAACGTAGTTCATCAGTTTGATTTACTGTGAAATATTGGTTCCTTTCTATTACATTTACAGTAAAAAAAACTGTGACAATGTTTCCAGTATTACTGCTGGCATATTGGTGCCTGTATATTTCTAACTTATAAGTTATAACCATATATTTCATTAAGTGATATGTTCCAATATCTGCTTTTTTACCTTAAAATGTATTGAAAACCATGTTCTGAGTGTCTGGGTTCTTTGCAAGTGGGATGTCCATAAAACAAGGCCAATACTATAATCCCGGTAATATATATATAAATGGGCACAGGGTCATAAGCAGTCTTTTACTGCTTTCAACATAAATTGTATAGTAATTTAAAGTTTTTACTTCCAAGAACCATAAATGTAACTGTATTGTACAGTAAAATGACATAATGCAATATCAAACCAATTTAGACCACAAAGTTTCACTGTATATGGCAACATATCTAGCAGTTTACCAATTAATAGTTTTTTTCTGTAGCATATATACAATACTTTCAGTAAACATTACAAGTTTTTTTTTTGCTATTGTATTGATACACTAATGCTCTGTCGAGTATAACGTTTGCTGAATTAAACATTTGGATTTTTTAAAATAAACTATATTTGTTTGCTACATATTTATTTAGGATGTTCAAAACACATTTTCAAAAATGTCTGGTAGGTTGTCTGAGTAGGAACTATGTATATTTGGTTTAAGGTTATGTTCATGAGACATCAGGCACATTTCTTAGAGATATACTTAATCACTTCATATTATGAATTATGGTTCAAAATTTTTAAGTTTTTAAATCTTAAATCTTTAAGTTAAGTTACTTCAAATTAATAATCGTAATTATGATTAACAAAAAGAAACTGCCTTTATCAAAACTATAGCAGTGTTACTGCAGGGGGTACGCTCATTAATGTTCATTATCCAAAAATATTTTTAACAGTGTTAACTTTTAACCACAGATAAAGCTAAATGTTTCATTGTCCCTCATATGTAAAAATATTAAGTACAATGTACAAGTTTATGAACCATGATGGTTGTTTTAAATAATAAAAGTCTAAGTCAGAACTAAGTCTGTATAAAACATCAGTATGGTACATGATACACATCGCCATAGGCCAGACTACTAATGCAACACTCGGTATGTAATGGGGGTTCATATTTACCTGTCAAGAGGACCTTGGACCTAAAAAATATTTAAAGACTTCTGCTTTAAAGCACAAGTAAAAGTTAAAGAAAAACTATGTAAATTAGCCTATTTTGTCTAACTAGAATGTAGCCATTGTAATCATAATAGCTACTGCAAGCAAGTGATGCGCTTTGTTGATTTTAATGAAAATTATATGTTTTTTTTTTGTGCTGTAGTGCAGACATGGTGTACAAACTCTACCCAGAATTGAACGTGAGGCTGCCGGAGTGAAGTGCATCATTCATGCTGTGTGCTTATTGTCATGAATGATTCTGAGAGGGCCATTGATTGAGACGAAATGTCAAGGCATTCAACTAATGAAGCTGGAGCATAAAAATCACTATATCCTCCTCTTACCCTCCTCGCTGGATAGATTTAAAAGGGGTCCTATTATGCTTTTCCTTTTTTCAACTTTAGTTAGTCTGTGATGTTGCTGTTTGAGCATAAAAAAGATATGCAAAGTTACAAAGTTCAAAGTCCACTTAAAAAGGAGATATTTTATTTAACAGAAATCACTTTTCAAAAACTACTCGTTTGGACTACAACGCATATTTTCCGGGATTTGTGATATCACAAATATCGACGAATGGGATGAGACCTGGTTGAGCTGCACTAGAGAAGGCAACGAGTGTTATCACTATGTCGGAGACACGCTAGCTTTCCCAAGGCAGATGAACTTAGAGTGGTTATCGAATTTTGAATATTCGTTGAATTTAAAATTAAAATCCACATTTTAGGTGTGAAATTTTTAGTGGTACACGAAATGCGACGATGTAAGTGTCATAGCCTGTCCATTTGAACCCAGTAGATGCGGTGCTGCTACGTTGTTCATTCAAAATATTGCAGAAAAAAAGAACAATCAATGCGGAGATGTTGTTTACGTCAAAACCGAAACCAAGGCGTTCACACAGAACACATATTTATCACATTTTCTAGAGGGACATCTATCACCGCGGCACTCGCATCTTGCACAAGAGAGCCGCATGTTTAGAAAGCTATGTACAATTAATGTAAGTTCAACTTTTAAAAAACATGTCTCAAGACTTTATGGCCGTTTTCCCCATCCCACTGCATCTCAAGTTTTTAAATGAAGTAAGTACTCTTTGTGATTGGTTTTCGGTCCTTTGTATTAAACTATACATGCATGCATGATGCTGTTTTGTTTCTAATTGTTTAAGCAACTTTATTAATTATATAAGGTTTATAAAAATTATTTTAAATATTATGCACTTTTTTCAAAGATAGTCGTGTTATTTTATTATGCTTTAAAGAAACGTGCATACTATTTTGGTCGATGCGCCCTCTTGTGGCCTCAGGAGAGAAGCCAAAAGCTTTTTTTTCCCCCTAACTGAAATTATGCCTTATAAATTCAAATATAATTCGAATATTGATAATATTTAAGTAAAAAAATTCAAATTTCGTTTTTCAGCCATTTTGACAGCCCTAGTGGTTACAATCATCCGGGTTTAAATCGCGCTCAAATTTATTAGATAAGCAACTTTATTAATTATATAAGGTTTATAAAAATTATTTTAAATATTATGCACTTTTTTCAAAGATAGTCGTGTTATTTTATTATGCTTTAAAGAAACGTGCATACTATTTTGGTCGATGCGCCCTCTTGTGGCCTCAGGAGAGAAGCCAAAAGCTTTTTTTTCCCCCTAACTGAAATTATGCCTTATAAATTCAAATATAATTCGAATATTGATAATATTTAAGTAAAAAAATTCAAATTTCGTTTTTCAGCCATTTTGACAGCCCTAGTGGTTACAATCATCCGGGTTTAAATCGCGCTCAAATTTATTAGAGATTGACGCAATATTTACACTGAAGCTCGCAGGCGGCTATGGTAAGGGGCGTGACATTTCCCGACCAGGCGCCGAGTGCTGCCAATCACAACACACACTGGCCCAGCTAACCAATCACAGCACATTTCATATTTCAGAAAGTGGGCCTTCATTTGATGCAGGAACTATTCGAGCGATGTTGTAATGTAAAATATGTGAAAAATAATGTGTTTTTCGAACAATCTAGTATGAGAGCCTGTTCTAGTACACCCCCAAAACAAAATCAAGACTTTGTAAAAGAGCATAATAGGACCCCTTTAAAGGGGGGAAATTGATCACGAATGCTAATGTGGCAACCTGTTTTGAACATCCTTTCTCTCTGAGGAAAAAAAAAAAGATTGAATCTGAATTAAAAGTTCAAAGTGATTTAATGTGTGATTACGTTCTATTGTTTGGCGAATTTTTATGGGGAAAATTAGTAATTTAAGAATCCACACAGGAATTTCTTGCGAGGACAAAAGATTTTGCAACTGGTTGAAGTTGCTTCCTAGACCAACAGGAAGCTGCTTGGTTTGACTTCAGTGTGTGCGGTGCTTCATACGTCACTACACTGTTTACAACAGACGATAGGCTTTTTTGCCCACAATATTTCAATCATGTGACCTTACGTTTATGCTTATTGCAGGATAAGGGAGAGCGTTTTAAGTGCAGCTTTTTTGAAGAACTGTATTTACGTTTAAATTAATTATTGGGAAACTATTAGATTGTTGGATTTTCATTATTTTTTAAAAAACATTATTTAATTTTAGGTCAGCTGTAAAAGAGACTTGCTGTAAAAATGTCATCTGTTATAATTTCTTCCAGCGAATATCACATTTCTTGAGGGTTTTTCTATTCGTCTTGGCTTTCATAATGTGCTTCTCTCCTCTTCATCATGCGGCCTGTGATAATCTTGTTTCTGAACAAGACAATATTTCTTTGTGTTTAACTTACAGCAACAACACCATGGTTTGAGACTTACCGGGAGAACTTCCTGCAGTCCATGCCAGCATCAGAGCACGAGTTCCTCAACCACTACCTGGCCTGTATCCTTCTAAGTTCTTCGCTCTTCTTTCCTAATAACTCTACCTCACTTCTTTTTCATGCTTGCATTTCTCCTCTTTCTTTACCACAAGGGACGCACCGAAATTTTGACCATATGAAGCGTTCAGCTAAGACTGCTTAAAAATGTCAAGAAGTATCTTAGTTTCTATAGTAAAGGATTTAATAAAAAGGGTAATAAATATAATAATTAGCACTGTCTATTGATGCAAGCCTGTTGATTACCAAGGCTATATATTTTTGTGACTTACTATCAGTGGTGTATACAGTACCTGAAAGCCATACTCAAAGTACAGATGTCTTACCAGAAAATGACTTTGGTAGAAGTTGAAGTCACCGTTTAGAATATTACTTGAGTAAAAGTCTTAAAGTATGTGATATTTATTGTACTTAAGTACAAAAGGTATTTTTTTTATCTTAAATGTACTTAAGTATTGAAAGTAAAAGTACAAGTAAATGCAAAATGGAAAAGAACCAAATAAATATATATAAAAAATGTTCATACACGGCTTGAGTAGCAAGATTGTATTCAGTTTTAACTCTTTCTTCCATTTTGTATTTTTGGGTAATTCAAAAAGCTGATTCATTCAACAAGTAAACACCGTCCATTGCTGTGATCTTTGTCTGGAACTATTTTCATTGGCAAAATTGAGCAAAAACAAGCAATATTACCTCTAAAATGTAAGTCACATTGCTTTACTGAACTTGTATAAAATTGTTATTAAATGAATTACAGAAACATTTTTGCCGTCCATAATTTAGAATGCTTGGAAATTTGAGTTTTAATAGACTAATAAATCAACGTGCGTGCACTTTGTGTGTGATTTGGTGATATAGCCTACTTGATAATGTCAGATTGCACATCATTACAACACTTACCATATTATCATAGCAGAAGATATACTGTATATCGCACAACCCTAGACTCGACTTGAGTGGAAAATTAATCATCCGCGGTTTTGCGCGCACTTGTTTGCACGTGAGCAAAGGTGTTTTTAGGAGTCTAACTCGCAAGCGCCAGACCACTGATTCGTCAAACTTGCTTTCCTGCAGTCTATGTTCTTCTGACTTCTGACTATTCTGTAGTAAGTAACGAATATGCTTCGGGGAAATGTATTGGAGTAAAAGTATACATTTTAATTAGGAAATGTAGTGGATTAAAAGTATAAGTTGGCTGAAATATAAAAACTCAAGTAAAGTACAGATACTCCCAAAAAATACTTAAGTACTGTAACGAAGTATTATTACTTCGTTACATTACACCACTGAGTACTATTACGTTTCACATCATTCTAATATGAGTACTTAGCCCACACTTTTGAATGGTGGTGTATCACGCTTTCCACAAAAATATTAAACAGCAAAACATTATTTGTATCTTATTATTAAAAATCCAAACTTTTTCACCCAGTCCAGCCAGAGTTTTGATTTAATTGGTTTTAAACAAGATGATGTATTTTTGTGCAGCACAGTTCAGCAGTTTTGTTCGTCTGTATTCTGTGAGATCTCCTGAACTCGGCTGCAGGTATGTTGGTGGTGTCGTCTCGTGAGGCGGTGCCGACAGAGCAGTTTCTCAAGCTGTCACAGGAACAGCACCGAATCCAGCACAGTGGGGAATACACTCATCCCAAATGGTTCATCCCCAACACACTCAAATATTATGTCCTGCTCCACGATATCAGTGAAGGAGACGAGCAGAGGTGTGTGTGCGCATCTGACTTAGTGTTCTCCTGTACCTGTGTTGCTTGTTTTTGTTGCTTGCTTTTAGTTTTTTTTTTTTTTTTTAAACTTTTACACAGCCAAACAGTCTGATGAATAATCATTGATTGACTCTTGCAGAAGCTTCTGTGTTCAGTCAGGGATATTTGACCACTTCAATGCATGCTTGAAAAATTAAGAAGTTCTTATGTTTTTTTTTTTTTTATCTCTTAAGAAGAAAATGATGGAAATGTATTATTAAATCACTTCATCGTCCTGTGCAGTGAATGGGTGCCGTCAGAATGAGAGTCCAAACAGCTGCTAAAAAGATGCACAGTAGTCCACACGACTCCCGTCTATCAATTACCAATGTGTGAAGTGAAAAACTGTGTTTGTAAGAAACCAATTCATCATTAACACATTTTTAGCTTTAAACCATTGCTTTTGGTTAAAATATGAGTCCTCTATCTATAATATTGCTTTCTTCAGTGAAAAAGTCATCTTGTCTGAATCAGGAGAGAAATATGCACAGATCAAGCATGGTTTACAAGCAAAAACATTTCTAAACAAATATGTCGGTGAATTTTGATGTGAGATGACTACAAAGGATGGACTTTTCCACTGGAGGAAGCATTATTATGGATTATAGACTCCTATTTTGGCCAGAAGCAACATCAGGGTGAATAAAAAAAATGACAAATTATTTGTAATAACTTCTTGTTCTATAAGTACTTTTGTTAGTGTTATTGTGTGCATTTGCATAGATCTACGTGTGCAAGACTATGTGTTCACTCTTGATCCATTGTTACTATTACTAAAAAAATATATTTTAAGATTCTAGCTGATGTTTGTATTTTTATTGAATAAATGGCCAGCACCTAATGAATCATAAATGCTCTTTATTCAATATGCAGTTCAAAGCTTTTGATATTCCGACTGCTTGTTCTGATTCTGCAATTAAATAACCAGAGTTGATTAACACTGGAAACATGTATCCAACCCTGCCTCGGGGATTAAAACTAAAGTGATGTCAGGAGAAAACATTTCTGCTTCCCCTTAGTAATCGCAGACATTTAATTAGAGAACATATTATGAGTAGAATAAAAATTAATCTTAAAAGAAACATGAACTGCATTTGCAACACGTTTTCTATGAATATTAATTTCTGACATCAGCTGTCTGACAGGAATGCTTGCTTTTCTTTCCACTTCCTCCTCAGAGAATTCTGCATGTATATACGTTGCCAATCACGGTAATCATGTGCTGCCTGCAGCCTCAAGGTCTGATGAATAGAAGATAACCTGTCTGTGGGGAGAAAGATTAGGCTGTCATATATATTTATGATGGTATAGAACTATTAATGTCCATCTCTGTTTCTCAGGGCGGACTCTGTGTACGAGGATATGAAACAGCGGTATGGAACTCAGGGCTGCTATCTGCTCAAGATAAACTCCCGGAGTGGTAGCACTGGAGCGGACGAACAGATGCCGGACCCCTGGAGTCAGTACTTACACAAGACCAGCATACACAACCCTGTGAGTGCCACAACCTCACTTCAGGCTCGGAAAAAATACAACTCATAAACCTCTGATTACCATCATAAGGTCTGGTTCACATAGCAGCTTATTCTGGCCAAGAATTAGGTTTTGATAAAGTAAACCTTGCAAATCCAGGGTACAAGTGCAATGCAATATTTTGCTATATTTAATAAATTCAATTTATGGACCATGGTGGAAAAAATTATTTTATTATATTATATGATATAGATTTTTATAGTGTTCTTCCACCGTGGTCAGTAAAATTAAAATTAATTGATCAAATAATATGAAATATTACTGTAATGCAGGCATTCTCAAACTTTTGTCAGCTGAACCCATTTAAGCTCAAATATTTACTTAAAGTACCCCCTGAGGTTTTAATATTTAAATGTTGTGAATATGTTAATAATTCAATAATATAATAATTTAATTGTTTGAATGTTCACGGCTCTCTGACATTGTTTAATGGTCACATGAAATGCAGGTAAACATACAGTTTTTATTTTTGTATTTTCTTTTTTTTTTCCCTCTTATTTCTTGTTCTTTTATTTTCATTTTACTTTTTTATGATAATGATCTTTTTGTCAACTCACAAAGGTTATAATGTAAAGCTGCTATAATATATATTATCACAAAACAACTGAAAAACTTAGCGTAAAAATAGTAACATCTAAGTTAGCTGGTTTTACTTAATTCAAATGAATCAACATAAGTGCATTAATGTTTTTAAGGTAACAATTGCAGGTCATATTTATTTTACAGTGAATGTGATGAATTATTTTGTAAATTTAAAATAGGGTTTGATTGCGGTGTTAATTGTTTTTACATTAGTGAAGTTAGAGACTTATCTGATGACATGAAAGAATAATAGTTACTGAAATTATTTGTTTCCTCCAACATGTATTGGCCTTATGGAGTCACTCAGTTGTATGACTATGTTAGATTTCTTTGTATTTGAAAAATTGAATTTGATCAGCCAAATTAAATGTTCCTCATCCCTGGTGGTGTTTTATAGGAGCTATATGAAGAATATGCAGTGAGTAATGCGGTTGAAAACAACATTGGTGCAGAGGAAGATGGTCTTGATCCATCCATTAGAGGTTAGTCTGGCTTAGTTGAACCCCATTATCAGGGATTTTGGTTTTAAGCCTCATATTGATGAGAAATGATTGTCTAATGTTAATTAGATGTTCCTCTTGTGTTTGCAGACGGCGTCTCAGAGACTCCTCCTCTGCAGCTGGACCACCCCACTGATGCTGGTTACCCTGGCAACGATGCCAGTCAGTCTGTAAACAATGTGGATGAGACGAGACCTCAAAAACAGGCCAGCGGGACCTCTCACACCAGCCCGACCCCTCGAGGAACCTGCCTGACCCTGAATGACCACGACCACATTCGGCAGTTTATCCAGGAGTTTACCTTCAGAGGATTCCTGCCACACATCGAGAAGAACATAAGGCAGCTAAATGACCAGGTACATAAACACCAACTCCAACTATATATTACATCTAATTCATCTCAAGTCTCTGTATTGATTGACTCTCCTTTCTTCACTTTTCCTGGTAGTTGTACATTTTAAATTTGGAGATAATGACAAGTTTGGGTCTCGTCCCATTCGTCGATATTTGTGACATCACAAATCCCGGAAAATATGCGTTGTAGTCCAAACGAGTCATTCGTTGTAGTTTTTGAAAAGTGATTTCTGTTAAATAAAATATCTCCTTTTGAAGTGGACTTTGAGCTTTGTAACTTTGCAGATGTAACTTGTAACATGTAACTTTGCAGATGTAACTTGTAACATGTAACTTTGCAGATGTAACTTGTAACATGTAACTTTGCAGATGTAACTTGTAACATGTAACTTTGCAGATGTAACTTGTAACATGTAACTTTTTTATGCTCAAACAGCAACATTACAGACTAACTAAAGTTGAAAAAGTGAAAAAGCATAAGACCCCTTTTAAAATAATCGTTTGAAATATGATTACAATTTAAAATAACTTTTTTCTATTTTAATATATTTTAAAATGTAATTTATTTCTGTGATGCGAAGCTGAAATTTCAGCATCATTACTCCAGTCTTCAGTGTCACATGATCCTTCAGAAATCAGTTTAATTATGCTGATTTGCTGCTCAAGAAACATTTATTCTTATTATCAATGTTGAAAACGGTTGCATTTTCAGGATTCTTTCATGAATTGAAAGTTTAGAAAAAAAACATTTATTAGAAATAGAACATTCATCTTTTTTAACATTACAAATTATACGTCTCTACAGTTTAATCCATACTTGCTGAATAATAATATACATTTCTTAAAAATATATTAGTATCAGTTAGGCCTGAGCGATAAAACGGTATCGATATTTATCGACGGTACACCTTCTTCGATAACGATATAAAAAATGTTCGATATAGGCACGTGCTAAGAGTGACGCAGTCAGCACACACAAACACGAACATGAGTGCTGTGCCCAAAGCAAAAAGTACTGTTAAATTGTACAGTACATGATATTTATTCCATAACTTCTTATACATTAGAAACTCTCAGACAGTCATGTTTTATTTAATATTGGCTCCAATATCTTATTATTTTTATGTTTACCTCCTTATATACATAATTCTTATTGGCTGTATAGTATTAGTTCATTCCTCTATTGTTTTGTTGTAGATTTATTCACTGTTTTCCTATCATTAATATGCATATCTTCACTGCGTTCATACATAATAATGCAGTTTTTATATTTTCAAAATAAACCTCACCTAATAGGCTTAAATAACCCAAAAGTCAAGGGTCTATTAATATTAATTTCCTTAACTTTTGACAGTAATGCAAATATATTTTATATATATATTTCCAACACAGCTTTGGAGCTTCTCTTTTCTATCATTTTCGTCATCTTTCTTTATCTCTTATTCTAGCTTGTCTCAAGAAAAGGTCTGAGCCGATCTCTTTTCTCCGCCACTAAGAAGTTGTTTGGTGGAGGGAAGGTCCCAGAGAAGAGTATTGCTGAACTAAAGAACACCGCAGGGCTGCTGTAAGTGACTTGAAGTACAAATAAAATCGTTTTTGTTGTTCTTTTCTACATCTTATCTGTCTCTTGACCTCTGTGATATCAGATATCCCTCAGAGGCTCCAGAGCTTCAGATCAGGAAGATGGCCGACCTCTGCTTCCTCGTTCAGCACTATGAGCTGGCCTACAACTGCTACCACACTGCCAAGAAGGACTTCCTCTCTGACCAGGCCATGCTGTATGCTGCAGGAGCGCTGGTGAGACGCACACCACAGTCACAGCGCAGCTGCTGTTGGAAATTAGCTCCGCATCCATCATTTGTGGATGATCAGAGTAGTACTGTCTGAACTCGTCTCAGACTGGCTGTCTGCTGTCTCTGTCTCTAAAGGAGATGGCTGCTGTCGCTGCCTTTCTGCAGAGTGGGGCACCCAGGCCGTACCCAGCACACTATATGGACACGGCTATTCAGACCTACAGAGACGTGTGCAAGTAAGAACAAGCATTCGCTTGCATTTGGTTTTGTAGAATGTCACTGCTTCATTAATTGTTTTCTTACCCACCCGTCTTACCCATTTATATACTATTTGGTAACATATTTGAATGTTTTTAGTATTTTAAATGTAAAATTTAAAAACAACATTAAGTAAATATTATGTTTTTAAAATTAAGTTATCGTTTTAGTTTAGCTTTATTTCAAGAATTGCAATTCATTGAGTAACTAACCATTTGAATTATTGCTTCAGTATTTCATACTGAATTAAAACAAATAAGTTAAGTACTTTACTGTGTTTTGTTAAAATTTTAAATCAGCGAATGAATAAAAAAAAAATTGTTAGTTTTTTCTTCCTGTTTTATTTATTTATTTGTTTTTTTAGTTATTTGATATCATTTTATGTGGCTTTTAAAAATGAGCTTAGTTTATTTTTATTAAATAACTAAATAAAATGTATTAATTAATTTGAGTTCTTTCTTACTTTTTTTAGGCCAGACATTGCTTGACAGACATTCATGTGCTTTTAGAAATTAGTTTAGTGTTTTATTTTTATTTATTTATTTTTTTAAATGAATAAAGCATTTTCATTTAAAATTGATTTCATTTGCTTCCTTTTTTTAGACCGTACATCACTTTTTCTGGCTTTTAGAAATTCAGTGTTTTAATGTTTTATTATTAAATCAATCAATCAGTTTTCATTTTTGCCTCCACTTTTTTATTATATTATTATTATTATATAAATATTAATTATTTATTATTATAAAAAATTATTCTTGGTTAATTTTTTAGGCCATATATTACTTTTTGTGGCTTTAAAGAAAAAAAAATATTGCTTTTAGTAGTACTTCAAATAAATAAAATTAATTTTAGTTGTTGCTTCTGTTTTTAGGCCAGACATCAGTTTAAGTTGCTTAAGTACTTGATGGAAAGACCATTCAGATTTTGTTGGAAACCTGCTGCATGCGTATAATGTGTATAAGACTTTGTTTTTGGTGTCTGTGTCACAGAAACATGCTATTGGCCGAGCGGTGTTGTCTTTTAAGTGCTGAGATTTTGAAGAGTCAGGTCAAATTCTCAGATGCTGCCACACTTCTGATCAAGATGACCAGTGAGGTGAGCGTGTCATTTCAAACAGGTGTTCCTGTTTCGAACTCGCTGTTGGCTGAGCCGTTGTTGTCATGCTACACGGTTCAGCCAAACCCAATTCACTTCACTGCCTCTTTCCCTCTCTGACAGGACTCTGATCTGCGGAGTGCACTCCTGTTGGAGCAGGCGGCTCACTGCTTCATTAATATGCGCAGCCCCATGGTGAGGAAGTTTGCCTTCCACATGATACTGGCTGGTCATCGTTTCAGCAAAGCTGGACAGGTATGATGGCAGATGCAAGAAACACACTTTGCTAAAATACACATCTGCCCATGTCAGCATTACATTGAATCACTGAGCATCAAATACTGAAATCCTGCTGGAACTGATGTAGATTGATTGTCTGAAACGCCATCTGCTCTGAAGTGATCAGAAAAAAGCGACTGTGTTTACAGAGTCAGATGAGGTCAGGCTGTCAGTTTTCACCTGGATGCTGACGCTGCTTTAACAGCTGTGAAGCTATTGAGCGTCGCAGTAACATAAAGTGAAGCGCATTCTTTTAACATGTCAGTCAGTTCACACTGTCCCTCTCTCTCTCTGTTACAGAAGAGACATGCCTTGAGGTGCTACAGCCAGGCTTTGCAGGTGTATAAAGGTAAAGGTTGGACACTGGCTGAAGATCACATCAACTTCACCATCGGTCGGCAGTCCTTCACGCTGCGGCAGCCAGAGAACGCAGTGGCTGCCTTCCGGCACATTCTCATCAACGACAGCAAACAGTCGGCTGGACAGCAGGCTGCTTTCCTCAGGGAATACCTCTATGTGTATAAGGTTAGCAACACACACCGGAATCCCATTACTTATGACTTAAGGCTCATTCACACCAAGACCGATAACTATATTAGTGTCCATACCAACTGACGATAACGTTCTGTTTATTAAGAGAGCGTTGCAGTTATGTCG